CCAGTGTGTATTACCCTCTTCCTGTTCGACTAACTGTTCGCCTGAAGCCGATCCATGCTGGTGTTCTTCCGTTGTCAAGTCATGCCATGTCATTGTGTCTACAGTAAGCAAACCATACCAAGATAAAACACGGAATGTTATTAAAGCAATTTCTGAGATTATCTAGCTGCAGGAATGACGTAATATTCTTGATCATACCAAGGTTTAGCATGGAAAGAGAGTTGGTGCACACCCACTTGACTCCATCTGCGGCAAACGCGTCCTCTGCCTCTCCAACGGGAACCCAGCCTCCAAACACATATAACCTACAACAAGAAGATAAAGAAGATGAGAAATTGTGGAAAAAATGAGGTAAAATAATATACAGAAGAACCATACCTGAACATCTTGACTTTATTGAAAAGTGAAATTGAGAGAGGAAATGGACAATGGAGCTGTTCAGTCATGACGTCAAGAGGCTAATTCACCCCTAATGGATTTCAAATGGGTTTTCAGAATAGCAGTTTTGTTAACATTACATGAAGTGTCTCAAGTCATTTCTCAAATGGGAATTTTGAAACCATTGTGACATGAAACTGCTAATTGCACTGCCCTGCATCATATTTGCTGAATGAAATCCAATACTTGTTTCTTACGAATCTTGTGGTGCTGATTTAAAAAAATAGTGTCTTTTTTTGCTATAGAATGTCACACTTTCTCACAAAACATAATGTGGTTTTTATAGCATTTTTGCTTTCAACAACCATTTGAAAGGTGAAGAAGTCTTGTATTATCCCTTAATCAGCAGAAGAACTGCCACAAAGACTTGATTCCTATTCCAGGTCAGGTTACAATTATCTGTTCAATTCTCAGCCGATTTGCACATGTATAAATTATTCTAAAGACATATTTTATGCCTAATCCTGAGGCGACAGAATCCAAACAGTGACAGAAAATTATAGATTTTAATTTTATTTGGCATAAACTTTATGTAAAGTTATTTGACAATAAATGGAGTATTTGAACATATTTCTTTACTCCTTTGCAGATTGTAAGTTAAACTATATATTTTGAATATTTTTTGTTATTTAAACTTGATATTTGAGTGCATTAAATCTGATACATATAATATGAAAAATCATTCTTGTTTTGTGAAAAAACTACATGATAGAAAGCTTTTATTGATATTTTTTTAAATCAGCATCATCAAAAAAAAAATTTAAGTTGCAAAGCTTTGTTATTTTTACTGTTTTTAGGACCACAAACTGAATAGCTCTCTACAGTAAATCTAATCAAAAAGAAACGGGCTGTAGCATTACTTGTTTCCAATCACATTGGAGGTGTGCAGGCTCCTCTGTAGTGGCAGTTGACCTCTGGCTGGAGGCAATGACCAAGCCATAGTCTCTGAAATAATTAAGACATCAGCTTAAACCAAATGAGCAACTATAAAAATGAGATAGAGGTCATACAGCTTTATTATTTTTATCAATATGAACAAGGCCTTACCGATGTCTAGTTGCCACAAATCATTCAGTCTGTGCCCACACATGCCCCCAAATATGTAGAGCTTTGGGGCACTTCCACCCTTAACACAGTACACCACAGAACTATGGGATTCCCTGGCTGACGGGCCTCCACCTTTGGTTTCAGGAATGTTCCAACCTTTAACGCCAGACTGGACCTGCAGCTCCAACTCATAGAAGTCATCTAAATATCTGCATAAAAACACAAATGTGCATCATTCATGTGAGTATGTATGTGTTTTTGAATTTGACATGAATAAATGCATATGAATATGCACACCTTGGTACATTGCCATTTGGGTCTTCACTGTCATTGGCCATGCCACCAAAAAGATAACACTTATTAGCATGAAGAGTGAAGCTGTGGCCAATTCGTGGACATGGAGGTGATGCGTTCCTTGGTGGGCGGGGCTTCAGTTTCTTCCACAGCCATCGACTGGCCTGAAAGAACAGATAGAAATCAGGGCCCTCCTAAAGCTGTGTACTACAATCATAAACTATTAACTGAACTACATTAAGTGCTCACCTGCAGTTCATAGAGGCTGTTGGTATACTGGCCAAATTCAACCATCCCTCCAAACACCAGGATCCGTGTGCCTTCACAAACGAAGCCATGAGCGGCACAACCAGGTGGGATATCGCCTCTCACTGCTGGCAGGAACCACTGCTTGGTCACTGAAATGTGTAGTTTATAACTTTCATTAATGCATTATTGTGTACATCAGCATTACATATGTATTAAAAATGTTTCATGGAATTTCTAACTATTTTAATGTACATAAGCCAGTCAGCATGAATGAATATGAAAACATTGATAGAGTTTAGTAGTATTTCTGACTATTTTAATGTATATTAACCAATGATTTGTTTCATTAATTCAGTGAATTAATTGCTGGGAACTACATGAATCTGATCTGAAGTCACGTCTCTTGTGTGTTTTTTATAAACTATGCATCCACTCACTGTACTATATAGTATGTAGTATATTTAGTGCCCTACCCGAGTTATAAACATGTAGATTGGTCGCTATTCCCTCGTTTCCACCTCCAAACACAACTACCAGCTCTCGTATGGCCACGACCCGGTGCCCATGCCTCGCCCTCGGAACAGGTCCAGCGTAAGACCGCACTCTTTTCCATATGGGACCCTTATTAATCATAATATATTATCGTTTGATTTTGCACAATTGCAATGCAATAAAGGCGGACTACATGCAAACAGTTAGTAGCTCTTCCCCGTGCTTGAAAGCGTGGATGTGATTTGCTCAACGCTTATCACGTGACCAAAAGGCGGCGCACTTTCGATAAATCAGAGCCGTTTGTGGTTCTTAGGCTCCTCCCATTTTAACAAATACAGTAAATAAGCCTCGAGGACAGTAAGAGTAATTAAATTACATTAAAATAATACGACAGATGCATATAACGATAAAAACATTGTTTTTTTGTTGTGTACATGAGTGCTGTAGGTTGCAACATTAAAAAGAAATGCTACATTTATAATAATCTGCTAAAACAGATGTGTTATACATTTATCATTAACATTTTTTAATATAATATATATTTTAAAATTATAAAATATATGTTTTTTTTAATGTAGTATAGACTTATTTAAAATATTCAATTGTTACATTTTAAATATTTAAATACAATATAGCCTATAGGTTACAGGATACTTTACAACATAAATATTCTCTTTTAGTACAGCAAATGAGTGCTGTTGACATTAAACCAATAATTTAAAAAAAGTATTATTTGAAATCAGATAATTATTATGTATGTGCAACAGGTAAGGTAGATTTTGTATAATCTGAAAATGCTAATATGATAGCTATGAGTGCTGGTGTCTTTAATAGTTAATTTTAACCAAAGATAAAATATATATCAGTTTGGCTTTAAAGACATCAAAACAGCAGAAGATTCATCTACTGTCCATCAACTGTGTTAAGTATCTTATGTGAAACCTAGAGGTCAGCAAAAGTCTATATGAGGATTTGGGGGTTTCAGAGGCATAGCAAATGAGGAATGATTTTACAGACATACCATAAACGCTAGACGTTATGGTTCATAATAGATTTAGATAGATTCTCGTGAATGAAATCAAAAGACCTTTTTGCCCAAGGAAAATCTCACTGTGACGATAAAAAAATTCTGTTGAATTTATGTGCAAGTTTATGTCAGTTCTAAAGTTCTCCTTCGTAAATAATGTTCTCTGAGTCAAGCAGATGTGCACATGCAAGAACACATGTGAGGCCTTTTAACAACAGTGTTTTAAATTGAAATGGCATTTGTTTGGTGGTGCAAGACAATTGTTCCATGATGCAATAGTAAATCCATTACTTAAAGATAAATGAGAAATATGAAATGCAGGGCATTCAGGGCAAACATCTAGAGTTTACATTAGTCTATACATTACATTGAAAAAGAACAATGGGTTAGTGTGGTAGCCAGCTCTTCTCTGAGGTGACGACAGCTTATTCTTCCTTCACTGATTTTAGAGAGAAAAAATCTATTGAAAGATGGATAGAGAACAAGCTGTCAGCTAGTACTTGCATAACAATATCTTTTGAATGAAAAGAGAGAGCTACAGAAGTTTTTGCGAATTACAATAAAGGAACAAAGAAAAAGACAAAAGTAGCTTGTAAACTGCTATTGAATAATATAGAAATAATGTCACATGCTCTTTCGAATGTGTGTCATAGCAAAACAGGCACTCAGCAAATGAGGAATGGAGGATTGCACACAGACATATTCGAGGATAAACACAAAGAGTGCGGAAAGATTGGGAGTCTGTTGAAAAATAAACAAGGATATGGTGATGCTGATTTCAAAGTAGGAGAAAGAATGATTTCACTTGCAGGGGGTTGCCAGAGTGAGAACGGAATGAAGCGAGGGATGCCGGGAGAGAAGAATTGCTGTAGAAGAGTTTAAACGTCGTTCTGAGAACTGGAAAGTTTCACTGTTTCTCAGTATTGGCTACGTGGAATTCCAAAGTTATAGTTGGCACCATTGTAACAGAATAATTTCAATGGCAGGGTAAAAAATGAACAATTGAATGACAACATTTTGTCTAAGAAGTCTGCTGTTCAAGACTGACCTCTTGTAATGCCACGTTATTACTGTGTTCTGGCTGGATTGTAGCATTTCATGAAAAAAGCAGAGAAATAATGAGGGGAAGCAGAGATGTGGAGATGTGAGGTGAAGAAGATGCAGGCAGCTGGATAGGGAGCCATTAGGAGGGTTGTATGAGAATTATGGATATGTAGAGTTGGGTTTGTTCTCGTCATCTAGACATTGAGCTCGGCAGAAAAGCTTCCAGTAGGCAAGCTGAATGATGAAAGTTGTTCTATTTTGGACTCTCGCTTATTATTGGCATTTATGGGGCAAGAACAACTCAGAAAAGTGAAGTTAGTTCTGAGAAAAACTCTTGCAATATTTGGTTGCAGACACTTGGTTTGATCTTTTATAGTGAGTTATGCAGTGTATTTAAGAGGCGAAAGAGTTAGTCTGGAATAGGAGTGTGTTCTGGACCTAGATTGCAGACACTGGTCAGCCAAGTGGAAAATTACTCACACAGCTCACCGGGCCAGTAAAAATAACTTAATTAATTTTATATTCCATCCTTCTTTGATCTCAGTGCCATTATTACTAATATAATGCGTCTGAATCTGGAGGAGACCTGTCAATCAAACATTTTTTGAGCCGGTGTGTTATAAGGATGATGAATAATTTCACTGGAGAAAGCATTATTATGGATAGAGGACTCATATTTTAGCTGAAAAATATCTTAATGAAGAATTTATTACAAACACAGATTTTCACAAAACATTAATTGATGGACTGGATTGCTTGTAAAATATTGTGATGTTTTTAACAGCTGTTTGGACTTTCATTCTGATGGCACCCATTCACTGCAGAGCATCCACTGGTGAGCAAGTGATGTAATGCTACATTTCTTCAAATCCTTTGATGAAGAAACAAACTCATCTACGTCTTGGATGGCCTGCAGGTGAGAAAATTTTCATTTTTTGGGTGAACTATTGCTTTAACCAAACTGGACACACACTCAGATTGTTTGTAACTGGCATGTTTTATTTGCACTTGTTGATATATTTTTATATATTTATGTCTTGAGATTTATGCGCAAATAAATTTTTTTTTAGTCAGTCATAACACTGACACGTACACACACCCACGATATACTCTTTTACTCCCACCTAGTCAAAAAGAGCTTCATGTTATCGGTGTACACATATAAGACACACATCAGCCTAAGAAATGTAGCTGAAGTTCTCACCAATATTAAACACAAGTAAAACACAAACCTGAAGTCACAGACTTTAGTCGTAAAGGAAAGTGCAACACGATATAATGTGCTGTAAAATAAATGCATAATTTATAAGAATGAACACATTTTTAGGTAATCAAAAGCTCATGTAGATTATGAGACAGCATCTCCAAAATCTTTCACCATGAATATTTCATGAATAAGAGATTAGGGTGCCTTGCATTGTTTTTTTTTCTTTTGACATATATTGCCTATAGTGTTCAGTATAGGACTAAAAAAGTTAGATTACAAGCTACTCCGAATGTGCGAAATAAATGCTTACAGGCTCACGAACAGAAATCGCTTTTCAACCCTCTGAAAGTCTGAATATTGTTTAAACTTAATATCGTGTTTATATATATTTGCTTGTATAACCATGTGTCAACTTACCATCCCAGGAGAAGTTTTCATCCCAGACTGACCACATTTGCACGATGAAGAACGGAGCCCAGCACACAATGTACGCCAAAACAATCACGAATGTCATCTTTACAGTTCTTAGTTTGGCTCTTGAGATGATGGTGACACTACTGACAGACGCCTTTCCAATCATCCCGTTCTTAGAGCTGTGCGGGGAGCCTCTCTTGGTCTTGCACTTGAAGTTCTTCCAGATACTGTGGCATATGAACCCGTAGCAGATCATGAGGATGATGACAGGGATGAGGAAGATACCCACGGTGATCCAGGTGACGTAGGCGCGGTTGCCCCACGGCTCGATGAAGTGTCCCCAGCAGTCATACACATCCGAGCCGTTCTGGATCTCGCTCAGAGAGAAGATGAAGTATTGAGGGGTGCTGAGCAACAGGCTGCAGAGCCAAGTGGACCCGATCATGATGTAGGCGCGCTTCGTGGGCTGCTGGAGGGTCTTCAGAGGGTGGCATATGGCGATGTAGCGGTCCAGTGTCATCATCACCATCATATAGGTGGACGCGAACATCCCTAGGACCTGGAGATGCTTGACAATCCGGCAAAGGAAGTCAGGTCCGTAAAACCTGAAGGTGATCTCCCAGCAGAGCTGTGGAAGAACCTGGAAGAAAGCCACCACCAGGTCCGCGAGGCTCAGGTGCTTGATGAACAGGTGCATGCGTGAGCTTTTCTTCTTGGTGTTGTGCATGGCCAGCAGCACGCACAGATTTCCGATCACCGCCACGAGGAAGGTGACGCTTAAAACCGTGATCTCCATTTTGGCCACGTCTTCGTTCCTGCCGAACGGGTCGGTGTCGTTGTTCGCCGTGGTTTGGTTCGACGCGTTGCCCATGGTTGGGTTTGGAAACGAACTATGATTTTCATGCATAAAATCGCGTGCGCTCTCTCAGGTATGTGGAGAGGTGCGCGCTGCCCAGAGCTTCATTGCTCACGGATACTCGTGCGTAAAAGGCAGCAGATGGGAATCCCTACAGAGTCTTCAAGGGAGCACACTTAGACTAGAGAGGACCTATGCATTTAAGTTTCAGAGACGCGTGTCATATTCTGGTGGTGCACATCGGTGTGCCTCAGTTGCGGTGACGCGTCATGAAGATTGCCTGACCAGTGTTGCATTCCTTAAATCCAGCCCCCACTGAAGAGGCTGGCAAGCTCGAGAGCGGCCCTCTCTCTCCTCGACTGCACGCCCCTAACCGATATTAAATACAACCTTACAAGTAAATGTAAGTGCGCTCGGCGCGCGCCCTCAGTGGAAGCAACCGAGCGCCTTATATTTCATCTGTCAATCATATATGCAAGTCAAGTCACATTTATTTATACAGCCGTTTATACAGTACAGATTTTTTTTCAAATCAGCTTCACAGTAATTAACAAGAATATAACAGTATTAATTTTGCAAAGACCTTCAAATAATGAAAATGTCTAAAAAGATAATGTTATCATTATTCAGTTCTATTTAGTTTCATTTTGTCAAATGTCTTTCAAATGTCAACTTGTATTTTTATTATTTTGGTTTTAGGGGTATGCTCTGTGTAATTATAATTAGGCTATAAAACAGTAGGAGGTTTTCCATTTGGCAAATATATTTCTTGCTTATAGAAAACCCTTGAAAACTGTCCTTAATGACAAAGGGAAAACGTTTAGTAAATTCTCTAATTAGGTCCTATCATATTAGAAATACAAATACCATATAGTTAAAGGAAAATGTATTGAGCTTGTGCCACACTCTCAGTCTAATAAACTGGTGTCAGCTGGCAATCTTACAGTGTGTAATCAGATTTACAAACTTTGTGAACTTTGGACCAGTTCTCCTCTCTCTACACAGCTCTTCAGCAAAGGTGAGCCTAGCCTTTTGATTATTTCTGCTGATGAGAGGCTTGGTCACTCCAGAGTGCACTCTCAGTCCAACTTCTCTTAAATGTGCCAAGACCGATCCAGAGCCTATTTAGCGCTGAACTGTTGAGCATTTTCATCTGCAGTGTTGAACCAGTTCCCCATTGAGAGTCTCTGCATTATCCTGTCTTCTTGTGCATTTGTCGGGGCACTTGAATGAATTAGTGTCATTGTGAACCTGCAATATTCGAGAAATCACAGATTTGGAACGACCAACTTCTCTTGCAGTGGCTGAAAGGGTCATCCCTTTGGCCTTCATCTGGACTTCCTCCTGTTGCAGGGTTTCAGTCACCTTAGAGCGGCCTGCCATTGTGCAATCTCAGTGAAAATTAGAGGAATGCTGCCAGTTAAATATGGTTTGGCATACAATTAAAGAAATTAGCACCAGGTGCCAGATTAACACCAATAACTTGGAGGTACCTGTAAATGTTCTCTAATTTTGATCAGAGTTCTTTTTCAAATATCTCAATTAAGTTTTCTATACTGTGCTTCAGAATACAATTAATTTATGAAATATGCTTAAAAACTGCCCTTCTACTCCTGTTAGGATAACTTCAAATATGACTAAGCAGTGACCTTGAAATTTAGGAAATTGTAAGTTGTTCTCTAATTTTGATCTCCACTTTATATATATATATAAAGGAAGTGTTCAGTTGACTTCGAGTTGATTTAGAGACTCATAAAATGTAGAAACATGCCTGAGAAGAGCTTCACTCTGATGAGTCAAAGCTCCCCGTGCATCTTTAAACATCTCCTATCTTGGCCATCTAGTCTCTCTGTTTATCTTCATATTATCATTTTAATCTAAAACTTTCAGCGTTCGTCCATCTATTGCGAAATAAGTTGACACAATGTTTACAGTATGTTTACACGGCGTTTTAAATCATGGTGGGTGAGGGTGTTTTCGTACGTGTTTGGCCAATCAATGTCTACTTGCGTCACGGGTAGTACCAGTTGTGCTGGTTAGACCCTGCTCCTGGTAGGGAGCTAATTTGGTTCTCGAAAAAGGCAGTCCGGTACTAAAATCGCACCCAGTTCCGGCGGTGCGAAAACGTCAAAAAGTGGGTAGCTCCACAATTAGTTCTGGTACTATGAAAAGGTTCCCGCGGTGCGAAAGGCCCTTATAATACAAAAAGAATGGTACTTAAAGGATTAGTTCACTTCCAGAATAAAAAATTCCTGATAATTTACTCTCCCCCATGTCATACAAGATGTTCATGTCTTTCTTTCTTCAGTCGCATAGAAATTTTGAGGAAAACATTTTTTTCGCCCTACCCTACCTTTTTGAACCGGAGTACACAGATGAAGAACTAACCGTGCGTGACCTTTCCAACGTGATTACGTAATGTGTGAATTTGCAAACACGCATCGCAGCGCTAGTGCAAGACGAGCATTTGTTGTTAAAAAATAAATCATTTTTTTATTGTTTTTAGAAATTGTTTTAGATGGTTTCGCTAAATAAGACCCCTATTCCTCGGCTGGGATCGTGTAGAGCCCTTTGAATAGGGTTTGTCATATAATTAAGGAAATTAGCACCAGGTGCCAGATTAACACCAATAACTTGGAGGTACCTGTAAATGTTCTCTAATTTTGATCAGAGTTCTTTTTCAAATATCTCAATTAAGTTTTCTATACTGTGCTTCAGAATACAATTAATTTATGAAATATGCTTAAAAACTGCCCTTCTACTCCTGTTAGGATAACTTCAAATATGACTAAGCAGTGACCTTGAAATTTAGGAAATTGTATAGGTTGTTCTCTAATTTTGAGCTTATTGCAATATAGATTTATAATTAAACATCAGCCTAAAACACTCAACCTAGTTTTTTAATTCACCTTATTCAGTTGCCGCTGACCTTTGGGTTCACAGCTGAGCATTTTATTTTGCCTGTGTATGCGTGTGTATGTTAATGAGAGAGAGAGAGAAGAAAGAAATAAAGAGAAAGGCGGGATGAGTATAGAAACTGTAAAATACACTCTGATTTTGGTGTAAAATGCTTACAATATATGCCTAATTGCACTTTTTTTTAAATATATTTTTAATGCCATCAAATTTTGCAACTTGTTGTTCTAATCCATGTTATTTCAGCTGCAAGGTTTTCAGCAGTGATGAAGCATCCGCTGATTTTCATGAGCCAGATGTGGTCACTGAAAACCAGAGATGCGAACAAAGGTTTGTACACAATGCTTAAATATCACTTGTCGTATTTAAACACTTATGAAAAAGTAAGTCGTTACGATGTCACTGATGTCAGAACATCTCCACTTAAAGTCTGAGTGCAGATAATGAGGAAGAGGTGCCTCAATACCCATGATTCACATGCACACTCTTTACACTTTCGCTTATGGAGGTTGTTTGCTTGAAGCACAAACGAGTTGAGCAAGGCTCTGTTGAATCTACATTTGTAAAATGCACATGATTGAATTTAAAACATCTGTGGCTTTTAGTGTATATGTACCTATTAGCAGATCGTGCAGGATTTACTTTGAAACTCAGAAATTGCTAGTAAATTCCACAAGCATAACAAAGAAACAGAATGTAACACATTGAATTAAACATGACATTTTCAAGTAAAAAGACTAGTATTTTCTTTGAAAAGTACTCCAATAATCTTTGTTTTATTTACAACTTCGAAAAACATACAATGTATAGCATTTAAAATGAACAGGTTTTCTCATATGGGAAAACAAACCAAAAATATTGATTGAAATCGTCTCTTCTGTCAACTACAAAGTAGCAAATTATGTTTCTAAAAATCTATTTGATATGTCCTGTCCAAACGTACCGTTTCAATAGAAAAGAAGACATTCGTCAAGCCATTTCATGGGTTATTTTTGTCATTGCTAAATGGATATGAAAAAGATTCTAAAGATTCTCTTTTTTTCTCCAGATCACTGCTGTGGAGGTGTGGTGAAGAAATAGGGCACAGTCGAAAGCAATGCTAAATTACTCCAGAGTGGTTTTTATTGGACTGAAAGGTTTCTGCTGTTTTATGGCCTGGGGTAAGTGTCTCGAGCTTTTGAAGAAGTAAGCGGCAATACAAAGTGTGACGCTTAGATGACCATTTTCAGCTAGGACAGGGTTTGGAGTCATGTGGAAGTGGATGCTCGTCTGTCTCGGATGCTGATGGTGTTTTGCCCTCTCTCTCCGATGAACCTTCATTATGGATGGAGTTCTCTAATTTCTAGCTTTTAATTGGCTTAGAAATCAGATAACTGCTGGACAATAGCCAATAATAATTTGTTTATATACTACAAACCCTTTTTAATCACATAATAAGGCAGAATAGTTTCTATACTCTAATAAATGCTATGTCAATTAGCACTTCATATACTTTATATATTACTTGGAGATGACTTGACAAACACAAATAAACCATATATTGTGTATCGTCCCCCACGTCCCCCGCGTAATCTACGCCCCTGGATGGAGGTAATCAATAATGCTGCATGATGCATCCATTGACTGCAATCACCTTCGGTGTGCGCTGAGCGTTCACAATTAGAAGAGGCACATTTGCATTTACATTTCTTCATTTGGCAGATGCTTTCAGTCAAAGAATCCTACAAATGAGGAATATAACAGAGCACATCATCTTGAGGTGGAAATAGCATGAGAAGTGCTGTAATAGGAAGTTCAAAGACTGTTCAGAGGAGTAGGCTAAAGATGAAAGTAAGAAATAGTGAAATGTGGGCAGCACTACAGCATGAACCAACAGATAAAAAGAAAATCTGTCTCCTTATTAGAGAACACGAGGGCAATCTTCAGGCAAGAAGAGATCTAGAGATCATACGTCCCTCATCTCTGTCTGTATCTCCCAGCCCACATATCTTTTAACCTTGTTACAATGGCTTAACTTGCGTCTTTCAACAAAACAGCAGCTGTGACGTCGACACAAGCCCATTTGCTGTTTATTGTATTGAAACCATGTCAGAGAGATATGTGAAGGAAAGGAAAGAGATGTGAGCGAGAGAGTAAATAAAAGAGAATTTTAATTTCCGTCCCCTTTTACAGATTCACAATTTTTTTTAATGTCCAATTTATATGCATAAGGCTGCAGTCTAGAAATTCCGCTTTTGTTAAAATTTGAGGTTAAAGCCATAGTTGGTGTATTTTAACAGTTGACAGCTATGCTGCATTTGTTTGGGTACATGAGCCTACAAGGATTAATGAACACCATAA